TTTTTTCCCCGGGGGGGGGGTTTTTTGTGTTAATGTTTTCCCCGGGCCTCCCCTTCCTTTTTCAGGGGCCTCGCCCCACCACCTTTTTTTTTTTTTTCCCTTTCGGTGTTCAGGAAGATTCCCCCCCCCCCCCCCCCGCCCTCCCTTCCAAAAATAACACAAACACAACACACCCTTGTCCGCCGACAGAGGATATCAGCAACGCCTGAACAAAACCTGACCTTTCTGTTTCCATTTCATTTCATTTGATGCTCTCGATTTCGAACTAAACCGTGCGCCCCTAAAGCAGCAACAAATAAGAACCATGGTCACATTATACAAGAATAATACTCCGTACTCCACTTTCAAGGCTTGTTCGGAAGCGGTCCACACAACACAACCGAGTGCACCTGCAGAGAACACAGCAGTTCGTAGGGAGAAAATGCCTAGCGCACGCAGCAGAGCGGAGAGGGGCCAAGCCCACAAGCCCTTTCCTACCCTTCCCCCCCGCACCTGTCCCGCCTCGTCACGCCCACCTTTCTTTGTCGCCTACGCCACTCCCTAACGCACAACAGCCACCAAGAACAAAAATAATATCATGGGTTGTCGTTGTCTTAGGACTGGCTACAACCCGCTCCGGTCTTCTCTGCTCAGTGCCCCCTTAACATTCGTACCGGTCCCACTGCTGATGACGACGCGCTCACAGACCAACTACAGAGAAAAAGGTACGCACGCACAAAAAATTACCAAAAAAAGGTACACTCCCACTTGCAAAAATTTAGCAAAAAAAAGGCACTCTCACTTAACAAAAAAAACAAACACACACGAAGAAACGCCTACAGGGGCGGCACGCTGCCGCCGCCCTCCCCCGGTCGGATCAGACCCGCCGATAAGTTTGCGCAAAGCCTACCGCAGCGGCAGGTTACACTTAACTGGCTGACTTTCCAGCCAAGGACCGCCCGCTTACGACCAAGAGACAGACAAGGCGGTATCCGTCAGGCCTCGCATGTGTACCGTGCCCCTCTACTGCTGCTGCTGCTGCTGCTGCTGCCGAGTAATAACGTGACAAACAAAACGTGGAAAAACGTAATACGCGTGATGACAGCGAAGACGCACGCAGCAGCAACGGGTGCCTAGGTAGGCCGTCGGCACGCACGAAGGCCGTTGGCACGCTCCACCGACAAGAAGGCAACGAAAATTACACTGCGCTGCAGTGCCTGAAGCGACGGCAATGTAATCCGAAGGCCACCGACGAACAACATTGCAGGTGAGTAAGGTACGAAGCACTTCCTTACAAGCACAAGCCAGCACACACAGTAGTCGTCCGCAGCACGACCTTTTGCTACAGTAGAAAATAAGGAAAATATTTGAAGTAAAAAAAAACGTCCGAACAAAAACGGCGTGTAGATAATATACCATATACGCCATGCGTCAAAACATACACACAAGCGGCGTACGCACACCAACCATCGCTTACATATGATTTACTTCCATTTTTCCATCAGGCGCGGTGCGCCAAAGCGACGTTTGTACACCCCCCTTACTACGGGGACCTAACGGACGGCGACCGTAAACAGGGCACGCACAAAAACGAAATATGAACATCCACCGGTGGAAACCCCTCGTCTTCCCCCCCTACGGGCCCCCCTACGGGGGGGGGGGGGGGG